GCAGGGAGCCCCTGAGGTGGGGCTGGCTGGGTCCCATGGGCTCCCTGATCTCATTCCCTTCCCCTGGTAATGCTCAGGAGCTTCTCCCTGTCCCTCAGGGACACAGGGTGGCTCTGCCATGGTCACCCACCAGCCCAGAGCTTCTCCCTGTCCCTCAGGGACACCAGGAATGGCTGATCCCATCCCCTGGCAGTGCCCAGAGCTTCTCCCTGTCCCTCAGGGACACCAGGAATGGCTGTGCCATGGTCACCGCCAGCCCAGAGCTTCTCCCTGTCCCTCAGGGACACAGGGTGGCAGTGCCATGGTCACCGCCAGCCCAGAGCTTCTCCCTGTCCCTCAGGGACACAGGGTGGCAGTGCCATGGTCACCGCCAGCCCAGAGCTTCTCCCTGTCCCTCAGGGACACAGGGTGGCTCTGCCATGGTCACCGCCAGCCCAGCCCGTCCTGCTGGGACTCGTTCCTCCAGCCCCAGAGAAGTTGCATCAGCTCAGGGAAGGGCGCTGGGCTCTTGCAGGGCTCTGCTCAGCCCCTGGCCCTCGCTGCTCCCTCCGGTGGGTGTGGATATGCTCAGACTGATTTGAATCTCATTTCCACGACTTCTGCTTTCGCTGCAAGCCGTACAGCCACTTCTAGGCAGAGATCTCTGTGTCCAGGAGGAGTTCGCACAAATCCAGAGCACCGGCCTCCAGGTGGGATGAGCCTTCCAAAAATTCCCTGGTAATATCTGTGGAAATGAGATTTTAAATTCCTGAGATTTCCACAGTAAACAAAACAAAGCAGAAAACCCCCCAAAGCAAACAGTTTTCAGCTAAAGGCTGGTATTCAGCTATGACAATGGGAAAGAGAGAATATAATCCTTTTTTGTGAGTGGAGTTAGGTCATCTGTAAAAGCCTCTCAGAATATTATCTCCCGAGCTAATCGCTGTATTGACATTTGCCTGTTTCATTAGAGCTGAGTTTTTACTGCATTGCTGAGGTTACAACCTGACTCATCTGTCATGGTCAAGGACTGGTTTGTAATTTCATGACTGGAGAATTAAAAACCAAAAACCCCCTCCATTATTTTAACTGGTTGGGCTGAGATGGTGCTCACAAATTTCTCAGTGTTGTTGTGTTTTGACTTCATAGTTCCTTGTTAGATTTTTTACTCGTAGATTTTTGTTTCAATCAGTTGGCAAAATGTCAGTTATTAAAAATAGAGCCATGTTAAAACAGATTTATAAAGAGGTAATTTTAAAAAGTTAAATACAGTGCATACACTGCCATATGGATGCCAAATAAAATAGGTGCAAGGCTTGGCAAAGGGAGAAAGAACCCCCCAGCGGAATTTTGCCACTGTTTGGTTTTGTTCCCCTGAAATGAAGGAGATGGAATGGGAACAGGTGAAACGCGGTGTGATTTTTCCGTGACAACAAGAAGACTAAACCAGGAATAATGTGAGGCTCCTGCTGTTTCCCCCCTCAGTGGGTCTGGGGGTGCCCAGGAGAGCTGAGCCTGCGGCTGAGGGCCCCAAAGCCCTGGGAGGGTGTGGGAGAGGGGGAGCCAGGAGAGCTGCAGAGCCAGAGCACCGAGCAGAAACTGCTGCTCAGATCCTCACAAACATCCAGGGGCACGGAGAGGAATGTGAGGATTAACGTTCTGTGCGGGTACCCTGTGGCACGCTGGAATTTCGGTGTCTCTGTGGGTTTAGGCTTTCTGTGTGTCAGCAGTTCCTTCCTGCCGGGAGTGCTGGAGACAGAGGCACCAAACTGCAGAGATCCCCGCTCTGCCCTGCCGGGCTGCCCCAGGGCCAGTCTGCATGGACAGCGGACATTTCACGCCCCGAGCACAGAGCTGCCCGCTCTCCCAGCACTGACCCCTCCGCACGCGGCTGTGCGCCACGGGGATCTGCAGGGAGCACCCAGGGCCACCAAGGCGTCCCTCAGGGCATCGGGGGCTCCCTGCTCTTCCTCGTGCTCACCGAGCCCCGAGGCTTTAGCTGGGAGGAGATCATGGGACGAGCTCCGTGGCTTTGTTTATTATTGTCCGCAGGGAGAGCTGCATCTCTGCCAAAGGGAAAAAACGCAACCCAAAAAAAGCAGCAGCTTCAAGTGCTATTCCTGCAGCCATCCCCTGGCTGTGAACCAAACTCATCGTTGGATCACTCGGTGGCGGTGTGAGGATGTGGCTTTGCCTGCTAGGACTGGCTGGGGATAATTTTGGGGGGTACACAGATGTTTATTACACAACAGAGTCCCAGACTGGCTTGGGGTGGAACGACCCCAAAGCCCCTCTGGTGCCACCCCTGCCATGGCAGGGACCACTCTGACTGTCCCACTTGGGCACTGCCAGGGATCCACAGCTGCTCTGGGCACCAGTGCCAGGCCTGCCCACCCTGCCAGGGAACAATTCCTGCCCAACATCCCATCCATGCCTGCCCTGTGTCCCTCCAGCTCCTGGAAATCCTCTCTCTTCATCTTCCCTGCAGCCCCTTCAGGTCCTGGAAGGCCACAGTGAGGTCACCCCAGAGCTTCTCTTTTCCAGGGTGAACAACCCCAATTCTCCCAGCCTTTCCTTGTGCCCATCCCGCTAATCAAGGTGGTGGCCTGCTCTGCACTAGGATAAACACATTATACATATATTTGTGAGGCCATTCCCCCCCCAGGAGTGCTTGGGTTTGTTTAACAACAGAATCTGGCACCAGAATGTTGTGAGTAAACATTTCCAATCCTTGTGTGGCCACTCCCTCAGCGGGGCAGAGGAGAGGAAAGGGGGAGAGGCTGCTGTGGAGAATTTCCCCATCACAGAGAGAGCGACTGGGAAAAGCTGAAGGCAAACCTGCCAGCGTGGCAATTCATGGAGATTTCAATGCAGACATCCGGAGGCCAAGGAACATGAAATTGTAATTAGTGCAGAAAATAGGAGAGATGGAATCGGGCTCCATCAAGGACAGCCTAAGTGCAGCTCCGAGATGGCTGTGGCAGCACCGAGCTGATGTGCACTGCCAGACCCTTATCTAAATGAGTTATTAGAACACAATCTGCTCTGTGTCTCACCCTCTGGTGCTAATGCCCCCGAAGTTATGCCGGGGATAAATTTGTCCTGTGTGTTCAGGGCAGAGAACTGAATTCCTCTGATGTGCCGAGCTCAGATCTCCTTGTGTGTTCCCTTCTCTTCAGTGAGAACAGCTCCCGCTTCCCCCTGCTGAAGGCAATAACAGCCTCAAACTTATCTCTGCAGCACCACTGGAATCGACCACGGAGACAGTTTACAGAGACAGCAAACAGTTGGGGTTACATGGGTGTAATTGAGGGCAAAATCTGCCCTGACATATCCCAGTGCCTTTTCAGAAGGAAGATATAATTCCACATGAAAATGCTCAGATGCCCAGGAAGAATGTGTGACTTTCTTTACAGCCATGTGATTTATTTTGCTGGCCTGTGGAGGAGAGGTGAGGTTAATGTTAAATAACAAGTTTGCTCTATTTTCAGCTCTGGAACCTTCGTGTTATCTTGTCTAAATATGTGATAGCTCGGAGATGAAGAAGCTTAAAAAATCTCCTAAGTGACCAAGTGTTTTATGAATTGCTACTCGGTAATTTGGAATTCTGCCGTTGTGTCAACTTCCTCGCTGCACAGAGCAGCAAGAAGCAGCATCAGCTGTTTATCCAGCAAAGCACTTATGCATAATCTGAACATTCAGTGCAGGGCCAGCAGCAGCAGCTTAACGTGACGGATCCAGAGTGTGAACCTTGGAGGGCTGATGGGCCGGAGCTTCTGACAGAGCCATACAATTCTGCACCTCGCCTCCCATTGAAGATACTTCACACACATTTACTCCTGAGGCTGATGACTGGTCACTAATGCATGAGAATGAGCCAGCTCGGGGCAAGCAGGCACGTCAGACACGTCCAGGACAGAGGGACTGAGCACAGCAGGGCTGCTCAGCCCGGGGCAATGGGCTGCCTGTCCCTGAGAGTGTCCCGGGCCCGCTTGGAGCACGCTTGGGCACCGGGGTCACCCTCATGGCTGGCCATCCCTGAATGTCCCAGGCCAGCCTTGGGCACCGGGGTCACCCTCATGGTTGACCATCCCTCAGAGTGTCCCAGGGCAGCCCAGGACAGGGGAAGCTGTGGGGTGGATGGTTGTGAGATCCATTGATGGTGTTCACTAATTCGTGTCCCTCTAAGCCAAACCATGCAGAGGCTCTGTCCATTTCCACTCCAGCCCCTGTCCCTTTCCCCCTCCTCTGTCCATTTCCCCTCCTCTGTCCATTTCCCCTCCACCGGAGGGCTCAGGTCGGACCCCTGAAGGTCTGGGCGGTCGGGATGGAACATTGGACACTCAGAATTCATGGCACTCAGCGCTCTGGGTGAGGAGGACACGGCGGGCACGGGCCGTGAGCTGGACTCGATGTCCCACAGCTCCTTTCCAACCCCACCGGTGCCGCGATTCCACAGCCGACAGCGGGGCTGGGAGCGGCGGGGGACAAAGACACCTCAAACCATCCCCGTGGCGCTCGGGACGGCGATCATGGAACCGGCCCGCAGAACCGGGGGAGGGAAGGAAGGAAGAAGGGGAAGGAAGGAAGGATAAGGGGAAGGAAGAAGAAGAAGGGGCCAAGCCGCCCCTCCCTCCGTCTCTCCCTCACAGCCGCCTTTGTGCCCGGCGCCGCCCCCGCCTCCCCTCGCGTTTAAATGCCCTCCATCCCGCGCCGCCATTGGCCGGCGGGTCACGCGGCGCGGCGCGGCGGCCAATGGCGCGCGGCGATACTGGCGGGGCGCGCGGCCGGCGGCGTTGCTGGGTGCCCGCGGTGCGTGCGTGCGCGAGGGCCGGGGCGGGCGGGGGCAGCGCGGGACCGGCGGCCGCTCCTCCTCCTCCTCCTCCTCCTCCTCCTCCTCCGTCCCCTCCTTGTTCCCCGGGAAGATGCCCCTGGGCTGCCGCTGCTGAGGCACCGCACCGCGCGGGCTCCCCGCCGCTCGCTCCCCCCCGCGCCGCCGCCGCCGCCGCTTTGTCCCGGCAGCGCCCCGGAGCCGCCGCGGATGGTGTAGAGCCCGCCGAGGTGGGTGGGCCGCGCTGGCGGGGGAGGCCGCGGGGAGGGAGGGACGGGGCGAGCCCGGCGGGCCGCGGGGATGCTCCGGGGGCAGCGGGAGTCGCGCTGCCGGGGCTGGGCTGCGCGCCCCGCGGGGATTTGTTCGCTTCGGCCGCGGCTCCGCGTTTGTTTCTTTATTTTGCTGCTCGCCCGTCGCGCCCGCCTGATGCTCCGTGGGGATAATGTGCTCAGGGAAAGGCTTAACTTGTTAGCCATCCAAATAAAGGGGGTGTATGTATGACTTATACGTGATTTAAATGCGCGCACACGGGTGAACGGCTCGGCTGTTTAAAAGGCTCACTTGCTTTCATGTGTGTAGGTATGGAATCCTGAAATGAAGATTTTATGCAAATTGATTTAATCATAACATTTTCGGTAGCATAGAAAGGGGTGGGGTTTTCTCTTTCTTCTTTTTTTTTTTTTTTCCTCTCTTTCGTTTGTTTTGTTTTGTTCCCATTTCTCTTTCTAAAGCGTGAAAAGAAGATGCCCAGAATCAGGAAAGTAGTAGGAGGTAGACAACATTGGAGATTTCATTGCTGAAACTGACTGCTCAAGAAATTGCTGGGAACAAAACAATATGATTCATTGTTGAGGTGTCTCTGCCCTTAGATTTATTTTTACAGGCTGCTCGCAGTTATTTTGGTTTGCTGAGTTCTTATGCTGAGTTTTTCCTCGAAGCAGCAGCGTTCTTGGAGATGAGGAGCTCAGAGGGTTTTTATGCAGTCAGCAGGCTGCTGTCTGATGGCTGTTTACTCCTGCCTTACATTGGCCAATTATTGAAATCAAAGGTGTTATTTCGCCTGTGCACCCGTGCAGCTGAACTGAGGAGCCTCACGCAGTAGTTCACCCTGTTAGAATTCAGTAAAAATGCTTTCTCAGAACAGATCTGAAGTGACAATTCAGGTACTAAAATGTGGGGTTTAACCAGATAAAAATGAACACTGGGTCAAAAGAAGTAGTTCTTGGTTGTGAAAGGTGCATGTCAATTTTTTGGATAATGTGCAATACACAAATGTACAACATGTTTTGTTGTTGTTCTGGTATCGCCAGGCAAACATTTTGGGGTTTTTTTGTTTGGTTTTTTTTTTTTTTTTTTTTTCCTTTTGATACCCAGCTCCCTTAGAACTGAGCAATCCATGGTGGCTGAGAGGCGTGGGGCCGTTTCTATGATAATAAAACACTCGTGCAAAGCCGTCTCCCCCTGGTTTCGGTGCCGGAGCCGGCCCGGGGGTGCCGGGGGGGGCTGCAGGCCGTGCCCAGCGCCGGCTGTGGGTGCCGAGGGAGGGCAGAGCAGGAGGCGGCTGCACACACACAATGCCCGGGCTGCGAGCTCATTGTTCTTGTGCGCCCGCCGCCGCCGGGGCTCGGCTGCTGCACGGCGCCGTGTTGGGGAGCGGGGCCGGAGCGCGGCCCCGGTACCGGCCCTGCCCTGCCCTGCCCGCCCGGAACGGCCCTCGGTGCCCGGGAGCGGGAGAGGGACCCGGGGCCCGCCGGTGCGCCGTGCGGAGCGGGAGCACGCGAGGTGAGGCTGGCAAGTGCACTGCGCTCCATGCAACTTTGCTCTTTTCCTCCTCCTTTCCCCCCTCTGTCCCCCTTTTCCCCCCTCTCTCCCCCTTTTCCCCTCTCTCCCCTTTTCCTTTCTCCCTCTCCCTTCCCTCCCCCTTGTTCCCCGAACAACCCCCTGCCTGGCAGCTCCTCACAGCCCCTGCTGCCCATGGGCTCTGCTGCCAGGGGAGGGCACACCACAGAAAAGCCTGGGCATGACAAAAGCAAGAGGAAGTGCAGAGCTTGACTCCGGTGTACACACGGTTTCCCTTCCTGGTGCTTGTTTCAGGCTTTTGTTTTGCCAGCAGTGTGTGTGTGGAAAGGCTCTGTCAGAGCAGCTGTGGGACTGGGGGGTGTCCGGAGCTGGGGTGCACCCCCGGGGTCCCTGAGTGCAGCCCCTTCCTCCTGGCAGGGCTGGGGGTGGAAAGGAGCAGCTGCTGCACAAGGGCTTGAGCTATGGGGTGGTGAGATATGTAAAATCTCAGCTGGCTAGCTGGTGAGCATGGGGTGTGCAGAAGGGAGTGTAAAATAAAATAACGTGGTTGTTGAGCAAAAGTTGCCAGTGCTGGATCCTTTGGAAAACAGGAAACAGTGACTGTCATAGTTTAATCATGCGGTCTCCGAGTTTGGTTTTGACTCTTTAGCTGACTTCAGTGTGTAATTGGGGTAAATGACTTCATTTTCCTCACCTGAATGAAATGTGCTGGTTGCCTCTGGCTTGAGGACACTTTTTGGGTGTTTTTCTCGCACTCCCAGCTTTGGTGTGGCCGGGGACTGTGGCTATTGTCTGCCTGAATGCTGCGAGGTCACAGAGGTGCAGGGAAGCACTTGTGCTGCCTCTCTGTGCCTCTGGGGCTCCTGTGCCTGTGAATTTCTGCTCTGCAGGGGCTGCGATGGGAAACTCTGCCCCTGGACAAAGCTCCTGATGCTCCTGTGCGAAACAGGGAATATTTCCTGGGCAGAAAAGGTGACTGGGACCAGGACAGACAGCCCTGCCCTCGCCAGTCATTGCTGTGGCTCAGCAGGCAGAGATTTCTGTGCATCCAGGGTTTGTTTTACCTTGGGTGGGGGTTATTAGCAGCAGTGATTTCTGTGCATCCAGGGTTTGTTCTACCTTGCTGGGGGTTATTAGCAGCAGTGATTTCTGTGCATCCAGGGTTTGTTTTACCTTGGGTGGGGGTTATTAGCAGCAGTGATTTCTGTGCATCCAGGGTTTGTTTTACCTTGGGTGGGGGTTATTAGCAGCAGTGATTTCTGTGCATCCAGGGTTTGTTCTACCTTGGGTGGGGGTTATTAGCAGCAGTGATTTCTGTGCATCCATGGGTTTGTTCTACCTTGCTGGGGGTTATTAGGAGCAGTGATTTCTGTGCATCCAGGGTTTGTTCTACCTTGCTGGGGGTTATTAGCAGCAGTGATTTCTGTGCATCCAGGGGTTTGTTCTACCCTGATAGGGGTTATTAGCAGCAGTGATTTCTGTGCATCCAGGGTTTGTTTTACCTTGGGTGGGGGTTATTAGCAGCAGTGATTTCTGTGCATCCAGGGGTTTGTTTTACCTCGCTGGGGGCTGTTTGCCTGCAGAGTCCTTCCTGTGGAGTTGTGGGAGCAGATCCAGGGCTGCCACAGCAAAGTGAGTCAGTGACAGCATTCATGGGTTTGAGGAGAGGTGTGTGTGTGATTTTTGAAGCTGTGAACTTACAAAGCTGTGCTGGGGAGGGTCAGGTTGGATTTCAGGGAAAGGTTTTTCTCCCAGAGGGTGCCCGGGGAATGGGCACGGCCCCCAGGCTGCCAGAGCTCTCAGGGATGCCCAGGGTGGGATTTTGGGGGGTCTGGGTAGGGCTGAGAGCTGGACTCTGATCCCCATGGGTCCCTTCCAGCTCAGGAGATCCTGTGATCCTGTCATTGTTAACACCTCTTGCAGCTTAGGTGAGGAAAAGGGCATTTTGGTGTTGTGAATTAATAGCTGCCTTTTTAAAATAACAATCTGTAAATTTATTCTCACAGCTCCAAAACGCATCTTTCTATGGAAACCACGCCGGGTGGTTGTTCCAGCCATAAAGAACTGCTTTCACTTTTGGGACAGGAGGGCCCCAGGTGTGCCGGGCACAGGGAATTCAGGGTGTGTGAATGGAGGGTAATGGCTCTGTAGGGCACAGGGAATTCGGGGTGTGTGAATGGAGGGTAATGGCTCTGTAGGGCACAGGGAATTCAGGGTGTGTGAGTGCAGGGTAATGGCTCTGTAGGGCACAGGGAATTCGGGGTGTGTGAATGGAGGGTAATGGCTCTGTAGGGCACAGGGAATTCGGGGTGTATGAATGGAGGGTAATGGCTCTGTAGGGCACAGGGAATTCGGGGTGTGTGAATGGAGGGTAATGGCTCTGTAGGGCACAGGGAATTCGGGGTGTATGAATGGAGGGTAATGGCTCTGTAGGGCACAGGGAATTCGGGGTGTGTGAATGGAGGGTAATGGCTCTGTAGGGCACAGGGAATTCGGGGTGTGTGAATGGAGGGTAATGGTCCTGTAGGGCACAGGGAATTCAGGGTGTGTGAATGGAGGGTAATGGCTCTGTAGGGCACAGGGAATTCAGGGTGTGTGAATGGAGGGTAATGGCCCTGTAGGGCACAGGGAATTCAGGGTGTGTGAGTGCAGGGTAATGGCTCTGTAGGGCACAGGGAATTCAGGGTGTGTGAATGGAGGGTAATGGCTCTGTAGGGCACAGGGAATTCAGGGTGTGTGAATGGAGGGTAATGGTCCTGTAGGGCACAGGGAATTCGGGGTGTGTGAGTGCAGGGGTAATGGCCCTGCAGAAGGTGCCTGCATTGCCCCAGGGGCTCTGACTTCATCCCAGCTCTCTGAGGGACCCCGTGAGCCCCAGTGCCAGGTTACACTCTGCTCCTGGTGCTGAACAGTGCCCGGATTGTGCTTCATTTGTAGTCGGGAAAATAATGACAATTGGAAAACAATTAGTTATTATGTGATCCTGAAATGAGATGAGGGAGCGAGGACATAAATTAAAAAGGGGTGGCTGGGGTTGGAGTTAACCATTAAAAAACCCAAACAAACTCAAAACAACCGACTCTAAGTTTCTAATGAACTGGTATTTGGGGTTTTTTTAAAGTGGCATCCTGGCTAGACTAGCTATTTTTAATGTTCAGCTATTTTTCACTCTGGTTTTACTATATGTTACAGTTGTCTCAGTTGCATGAAGTCTAAACAAATCATCCTACTTCACTTAAAAGGATGCATGCTCTCTGATTTTAGCTCAGAGCTTAAATTTAAATCAATAGGTTGAAAATGCAGCGTATTTTTAAGTGAAACCTATCTTTGAACCATAACAGAACAAACCCCCTATTGATTGGAAACCTGTTTGTTCAATGTGCTTCTTTTTCAAGCTGCCTGAGATGAAGTTTGCAGGTTTGGTTGGTGT